ACAGAACTTTACAAACCCTAAAGAATCACTTAGATTCTAATTGTGAGATTCGACCGCCACAATTTTCTTTCCAAAGAACCATATTAAACGCATTAAAAAAAACAAGTGTCGTTAGGTTTAAGATTATACAAATTAGTTTACTCTTTAATTAGGACTTGACGTTTGAATAGAATCTAATCAAATATCAAACCGAACTAAGTAAACCGATATTCTATTAAATCAAACGTTCATTCAAATCTTAACCGAAACAAACGAAACACATATATGTATATTTAGGCACTAACTGGTGTAAGAGGAATAGCAGAATGTTGAATAATTCAGCAAAATTTTTGGAGTAATACACCAGTTGAAGCTGAAGAATTCAGCTGAAAAGAAAGAGAAACACTAAAAACAAAAAATGCAGAAGAGTTTAGCTTTTATATCACACTATACGTCTATCTTATATAATATGTCAAAACCGAAACTCCGAGAAGCTGCCACGTGTCATTCTCAATTTTAACTTATGTGTATTCCTATTAATTTGACAATTAATTTTGACCACTAATTCTAATTTTACAGTTTTTGACAAAATATGTCCTTTATTTATGTTTTGGAGAAAAAGAATTTTGTAATTAAAACAGTTTATGTTAGAAAAAGTAATGGTACAACCCACACACTCATTGTGATCATCGCATTGCATTGAAAATAAAACCAAATAAATTATCATGGCTCTCAACATCTCATTGGTTTTATTTTTGTTTGTAGCATATTTACAGAAATTTAACTCTTATTTTTTTTTGATTGGCAACAATTACATAATCTCTAATCAAGTAAAATGATTTTTTATATTTTCTTTCCTTACAGTCTTTAAATACTAATTTACTGCAAAATTGTTACTTGCTCCTATCAATGTTAAAATGTGTTTTTGCATATTTATTGGTATTGATTTAATACCATGATCATATATATAAAGATATGTCTCAATCATAAAAGATATATTAACCTTATTTTATATTTGTATTAACTCACATAATATATGTAACTCACATAAATTTATGTTAATTCATATTTATTTACGATTAATACCAAATTTATTTAATATTAATTATACAAATAATCAACAAATTACAAATATTGCATATTTTTTCATGTCAGGTTTTAAATCTACGCAACGCGTGGAAAATCCCTAGTTATCTTATATTAGAGGTGAGAATGCACCAGAATGAGAGTTATTTTTTTTTATTACATAGTATTTTAATGTTGCCTTTAAATTTTAATTTTTAACGGATATATTCACATTGCTTTTTAATGTTGTCTTTAAATGAATTTTATTTTTATCAGATATATTATTCTAATCGATATACTCGAAAATTGATTTATAATTTTTATTTATTTTAACCGATATAGTCGATAATTAGTTTATATTTTTATTATGTATATTTAAATATCAAATTTGAAGATATCAAGTAAATTTTTGTCCTTATCTGATCCTTCATCGATTCTTATATATATATTTTCCTATTTGTTTGATTGTGAAACAAATAATCTTCTTCTCCTTTTTTTTCATTATTTTCTCTATCCTACGATTTTTATTTTTCTAAAACAGATGATGTCGATTGTAATGCTATTAGTACATCTTACAAGCTTCATAGAATTAAACGTTTGTTCCTTCTTTAACAATATTATGTGTTTCCTCTTTTTTTCTTCGTTGTATGTATATACATCTTTGATCGTATC